CTGAATAGGCAAGATCGAAACTCAACTGTGAGTCGTCAACTCACCCTTAGCGACCAATTGTGAGCGAGTTTCTATGCCACATTTCGTTCCGATTTCCTTGCTTTTCTCCTCGTTTCCCAGGCGACACTCCGTCCTCTGACACTGGCCGGGTCGATCCAAGTGGTCTACCTCCCACCGCTGCATGTGCACACGACGGAGCCGCACCTCACGGACTCGGCCGCCGTCGCTCCACTGCTCGGCTTCGTCCGCTCCCCGCGTGGACACTCGAGTTCCAGAGGCAGCTCGGGCTCGACGACTCCGGCCAGCGGTGTCGCATGGCCGAAGCCCAACCCGCCCGAGGCGGATCTGGCCGTCCTGGCCGAGACCATGGAGACCGAGCCTGCCGACCAGAGCGCCTGCCAGCTGCGCTCGTCCCCCTCTGCCGAGGCCGGTCTGCTCTCCTCCCCGCTCCTCTTCAGCCTCGACTCGTGCGCTCGTTCGCCCGACGCCGAGTCCCCCACACACACACACGCACAGGCGCGCGCCGACACGTTCGGCTACCGAGCCACGACAGCCACGACGTCGCGATGGAATCGGCTCTCGCAATGCATCAAATACGCTCTCGTCAAGTCGCCGCGGCGGACAGGTTGGTCTTCTTCAATTCGCACAGCCCGTTTCAGAGGCAGTCCACGATTTGTTGACAGTCCACGACCGGATCGGGCTCGGCGTTTTCGCCAAATTTCACTTTGCTCGGCTTCCCAACAGGTCTTCTCGTGTTTACGCGCTCCAGCCCGGAGGAGGATACCTCTGGGAAGCAATGAAAACGAGAGGCATTCATAAATGGGCCTTTGAGAATACCGGCAAATCAGTCATCTGAGAAGTGTTCACCCTCTTTCGTCTCGAATGACCTACTTGTGTACGAAAAATAAGTAGTATCGTCGATTGTCTTGGCAAATACAACTTTGCTTCATCGATGCTCCCGCCAAAGAATGTGATATGGGAAAATGCATGGCATTCTATGAAATTCACATCTGCTCTGTGGCCGAAGAACATTCTTGGCAATGTGGCATCGCATTTGCATGGCTCGAGTCCCTCTGGGGCTGTTGATAGGACACAGGCGAGGTTGAAAGTGCTGTCAAATTCAGTCTGGATGAGAAAACAAGTCTATGTGAAATTGAATGGAAGCGTCAGGGAAAATTCAACTTCTATCCCCTTCATCACTTTAAACGAAATAGGGTGAATTCATTTCATATACTCAACTTTCGGTCCTTTCTCACTTTATGCTGGCTAGGCCGACTAGAGCTCGTATTGACTGCAATAGCATCTGCACAACAGTTTTTAGGGTCGACGGTTCCGGTCTGTCTGGACCTGTGGAAAAGCGTCTAGACGGACGAACCACCCTCATGTGGTTGCCGGCTTGGCTCCTCTTTGGAGCATCGGTCAATGTGCACAAAGCAACCAGTCCTCGAGTTCCTCTTTTTTTTTCTCCTCCAGGGCTTTGTCGGAAAGGCCCTTGCCTTTATGTTGCCATGCCCACACGGTGGAACGAATTTGCATTTTTTACAGACCCGGTTTCATTGAGCTGTAATCTATTATAAGTTGTAAAATGTTAATAGGTATTGTGTTTACTCTATTACGTTCAAGGCGATGAAGGATAGGAAGTTGAACTTTTCCCACAATCGTATGGATGGTCTTTACATTTTCGTTAACTTTCGCAGTCGTGCTTCCAAAAATATATTCTTATGCAAGCAGAATTTGGCCCCCTGAACTGGTCTCATCAGCACCCCCTAAACATTTCCTAGATCACATTTCTTCGGTGGGATTGTCGATGAAGCAATCGACTACACTACTTATTTTCGCTTCTAAATTATAAAATAAGTAGTGTTGCAGGAAATACAACTTTGCTTCAGCGAAAATCACACAACGTGAAGTGACATGGAAAAAGCCTGTCCTTCGTTGAAATCCACATGTGACTCACTTGCACTTGTGGCAGACTGGCATAGTGGCTAACGTGTCTGGAGAATGGGCTGCACCACAGTAGCCCGGGTTCGAGTCCCGCTAGTGGTAATGATAGGACCAGATCATGCGAGGTCGAAGCCGCAGTCTGGCCCAGTCGGTACGAAAAGACGTTTAAGGAAGCAAGACCTGTTCATGTGATTGTGAGCCAATTCAACGGCCACTCTTTCACCACCTTGAATGAAGTAGACTGAACCAATTTCCTGCTCAAACTCTACT